TTAGTAAGCACTTTGCTGTGTTGTAGGGCTTGCCTGAGGTGCTGCTAACCCAGCTTGTGATCCTGACCGTGTCCTGATGTGCTGGCACCATTAAAAGGCTGATAATAATTATCAGTGACATCTTGGACCATGTAGCCTGTTTCAACAATTTGTGATTTTGTTTGCAAGTGTCTCTTGCACTGTGGAAAACACAGGTGTTTAGCCTCTTCTTGCATCTTGATTTGTTGGGTTTGCTTCCCACCCTTTCTTCCGAGCTCCAGAAGCAGAGATGGCAGCTCCAGAGGTTCATCCCTCAGCCAGGACCCCCAGACCCGGGCTAGAAGCCTGGCTGGGATCTTGTTTTAGCCTAGGGGCAGCTGCTGGTGCTGGCTCAGGTAGTGTCACACTCCTCAGTTACAGCAGACTCGTTCTAGGGATAAGAACTAGTTACCTCTAGGGCACTCAGGCACCTGGCTTGGTCCCCAAGAGTCCCCTTAGGCTTTCAGGTGGTCCCACATACACAGTCTTACCAAGACAAGTGGAGAATAGGGGCAAGCCCTGAAAAGCACTTTTTATTTTAGAAGTTGACACAGTTTTGATGTGAACTGAAGAGACTATATAGTTAAAAACAAGCTGCAACAAGCTGAAAGTAGAAAAATATACTGTATGTAGATACATCTTAAACTAGTTAACATTATAAAATGTACCAAAAGTTGCTTAAATAAACACACATGATGTGTTCACATAATGTAAATGTATTAAAATCCATCCTTTGAAGTCCAGCTAAGCTGCATCTTCCAATGCAGAACGTTCCCCTCCCTGTTGGCAGGGGAGACCAAGACAAGAAAACATCTCCTGCTGCCCCCAGGGTTTGGGAAACTGTTTACCTGAAGCAAGACCTGATTGCAACAGAGTCAGAAGCAAAACAGGGGTATGAAGAATCCTGCATTCAGAGGGAGGAAGCAGTTTCAATTCCCTTGTGCACAGGCCCTTTGATCTGAGGGCACCAAGTGACGTGTCACCCCCCTCACCACTTCCCCTGTGCTGAGGAAATCACCAACACAAACGCTGCTATGTTCCTGCTGCTCGCTTCTGTAAGGACTCTGGCCTAGCAAAGGCAGCAATTGAAGATCTTTTTTGCTTGTTTTTCTGTTTGAATTACTCTTCTGGGTTTCACTCCCCACACCTGAAGTCAGGCAATACCATAGTGGCTGGTTGTAAAGACAAAATCAAGCCAGTGTTTCATTAAAAAGTTTTGCAGAGCTTCTGAAGTCTACTTCACAAAGCACTGAAAAGCTGAGGCAGGAGCAGCAGTGGTGGTAGGAAAACAGCTCAGGCAACAGAAAAATGCTTTCAAAAATGTTTTGGACCACTGAGACTTTAGGTCTTGTCTACCTGCTTATTCCGACTTAAAAAAATGTATATAGGGCATCATTTTTTTACTTAGTAGACCTGATCTTTGACCTTAAACCACTTTTGTCTTGAAACTTTGAAGCCAAATTAATATCAGTGTCAAAACAATTATGTATTTTTTTAAAAACTATAATTAAATTTTTGGCAGTGAAAGTAAAAATATTGATAATGTAGTAATTATAGCAAACTATGGGATCCCAATTCAAAATTCACTCAAAGCACACATTTTCAGGCAACGAGATCAGTACTGTTGAGAGAGGCTTAAAAAAAGTGAGTACCATTCAGGTTTAAAAACAGTAGCAGCTAATGCCACCGTGTGAATTCACTAACCCAGCTGGCAGATTATTCTACGATTATATCAATCTGTCATAAGCAGATGCTGACATCAGGCTCTCAGTGTGATTTAAGAAAATTCTTTCAAGACACTGGTACAGTGCATTTCACTTGCAGGACGGTTATTTCCTGCAAGATCCCACTTTGTAGTGAGTTAAAGTGCCCGTTTTCTCATCAGGAATAGGAATGTCACCTCGTCTACCCTGTACTTCATGTTTCACTATTTAGTGCAATCAGCTCAATGCAGTCATTCCCTCTGCTAGACTCTGTTTAGACTGCAGCAGAGCCCACCACATTTTCCTCAGTCTTGCAGAACTTTATGCTCCTAGGTCATTGCAAGGCTACACCCTGATTCAGCAAGGAAACAAATTAAAGAGCATAAAGGCTTCCAAAACTTCTTGCCCACTATTCCTACAGTGAATAAGCCCCCACCCCGAACCCGTAGATGCAAAAGCCTTAGGCTCTTCTTGAACTGTGCAAAATTAAATACTGGAAAGAGTCTCTGTCGGCATAAACTACTCCTTCCCCTCTGCCCCGGGCTGCTCCTCGGGTTGCTCTCGCGCGCGGCAGGCGAGGACGGCGTCGTGGATGCTGGGGAACAGCCAGCCCCTCGTCACCGTGTCCTCAAAAAACGCCAGTCTGGCCAGCTCGTTCATCACAGGGCCTGCAAAATAAAGACAAAACAAGAAAATATGCACAGTGCATACCCTGAGGTACGAAGAAGATAAAGGTGTCTCAGGAGGAAGATTTGATTTCCCAGCTTCAGGCTTTTTTTTTCCCATTCACAAGAAATTAGTAGAGACAAAAGATGAAAAGTAAGCTGCCGTGACTCAAAATATTTTAAATATGCAGGGAAACACAGGCAGTTCCATCCCCATGTGAGGAAGAACTTCTTTCCTGTGAGGGTGACAGAGCCCTGGAACTGGCTGCCCAGAGAGGCTGTGGAGTCTCCTTCTGTGGAGATCTTCCAAAGCCACCTGGATGCCGCCCTGTGCCACGTGCTCTGGGTGTCCCTGCTGGAGCAGGGGGTTGGACTAGATGATCTCTAGAGGTCCCTTCCAACCTCAACCACTCTGGGATTCTGTGAATCGTGCGATAGCCGCATTCAAGAAAATGTTCTCTTATCCAACCACAATACAGAAGCCAATTCTTGTTGGCACAACTGTGAATGTCAAGAACGACGCGCATTGCAAGTTCTCCCCTTATGTCATTATTAGAACAATTTCAAGAGACTAAACTAGGTGTGACATGTACGATTTGTCACTGAACTAAATGGGAGTGGGCCCAAAGTCTCGCAGAACTCACTACAGCACTGCTTTATTCTCACTAAAGGGAAGGCTCTAATAAATGTGGGTTTGCTTCTCCTGAGTCCATGGTATGTGAAATAAGCACTGATATTACTGAATTTCATGGCAGTAAAAAATCCAAAGCCAGAGGGGGAAGAGAAACACCTGCCTTTCCCACAAAGATGTCAAAAAATCTCAACTCACCACTACAGCCTGCAACACAGACACAGACCCCAACTTCTTTGTATTCTTTTATAATCTGCAACAGAGTTAATATGAGGTTAAACACAGCCATGTCGTCGTGCACATTATAGATCTGAAAGGCAGAAGCTACTTGTGCGAGCTACAATTTCCACATCCCCCCAAATTTAGCTGAAATTAGCTGGAATTTAGCTGTAGCTGAGGCTGCAGAATTAAAGCTAACCCTGTAGGTATTGGATGACACTTCATCTGGCATTTACACCCCGTGCACCTCACAGATTTTCCATGGTTTGGGAAGGGGGAAGCCTACTTACTGCTTTTAGTGTTTTTGCTCCAACCGAATCCACAAAGTTCACTGGAGCAAAATCCAGAATTAAAGAGTGGATGTTTGGTTTTGGCTCCACGAAGTGTTCAAGTTCCTCAGGAGACCGGTCTTGTCCGCTGTCATCCACAGATGTGAATGTCCCGTTCACAGGCAGCTCCTCACTTGCTATCTCATGTTTCACACCTGCTTCCACGTCGTTGCTCTGGGAAAGACGACAAGCAGAGCTCAGTGACAGCCAGGCCTGCTGCAGAGTTGACCCCCCTCCTCCCCACACACTTCGGTTCCTTCAGATTTAAAGTGTCTTTAAGCCCTCCTGTCCACGTGGCACTCTTTACCCAGCGTAAACAAGAATGCTGACACAAGAAAGTGTGCAAGCTGATAAACAGGGTGAGTTTTTACCGCAGAACTCACTAGCTTCAGGACCGCTTTCTTCTTGGGTTCGCTTGCTCTCTTTGCTGCCTTGGCATGCCTCTTCTGGGCTTTTCTCCTTGCTGCTAGTATGACACAGGGGTCCACTCCAGTCTGCCATGAAGAGAAGGGCATGATCACATGAGATTCAGCTCGCTGGGCTGGCATTGCAGCATCAATCAGAGCTAAACTGATCACTGCCATACATTCGAAAGACACAAGCCTGCATTATTTGGCTTCTCTTGGTAGGGGTGAGAGCAGTGTAAAGTGAGAAGGAATAATCTTTGCAATCACCGTGTTAACGAGATGAAGAGGAGATGCATCACATTCCCTGCTTGAAATCAGAGGGCATCGTGTTTCAACAGAGGGCTGATTTGGGTGCACAGAGCAAAGGGCGGAAGAGTGCAGTGGGGCACCAGCTGCTAATACCTCTCGCCTTGTGAAGGGAAGCACCACCCTCCTGCTCTGTACAAGACTCATCGGGGGAGCTACAGAAAAATTGTTCACAGTTAGTAGGGGTGCAGCCGCTGCCGGGCCGACAGCTCCCAGCTCTGGGAGGCAGTTCTGCCCTCGCTGGTTCCCAATCCTCATTCCCTCCCATCAAACACAGGCTGAGCTTTGATCGGAGGGGAGGGAGCCCCGATACTCAGGTAACTTGTTACTCATGAGAGACATTAAATGCACACACTACTCCATGGTCTTACACTGCAGTAATGCTTATTTTCTGAGGAGGAAACCTTTAATCTCATATTTTCAGTCCAACAACTACTCATTTTTTGAAAATAAATGTGTTGCACAGCTGGTGCTGTGCCACCACCAGGCCTTTGCCCCACAAGAAGTTCCTATTAGGTTACATTCCCTGTCACTTTGCTGCTTGCTGTGCTGTTTTGTAGCTGGTTGGAAACTTCCTGACTATCACAGTACCTGCAGCAGGGGCTGGAGGGGCTGGGAGATGGTGCAGAGGAGGCTGAGCCCTGAGCATGTTTCAGAAGCCAGTTTGAAGTTTCCAGACACAGGACATAAAGGAATTTGCTTTACTCACCTTTTTCTTCAGTGCAGCCATATATGCCTCACTATTGGCAAAGTAAAGGGATGTATTAGCTTGAAATATTTTTATTCCAGGATGTTCTTTAACCTAAGGAAGAGAGCAGGGGAGTGGGTGCAGCTAAGTACTGCCCACTGGAAGCAAAGCAAATATTTACATCCCTGCCAGTGCTTGATCACAGCACGTGGGGATACCCATAAGCAGGAAGCCCAACAGGCCCAGCACTGTCGTGAGCAAAGCTATGAGCAGAGCCACCTTCCCAGCAAGGTGAACAAAACACCACACACCATGTCATGCAAAAACCTCCCTCGCTTTGTAATAAAGAAATGTACAGTCATGAAAAAAAATCTGCAAATATAAACATCTGTTTAATGTTGTTATCTGCAGCTGGTATTAACAAAAGGAAATCATGCAGATCTAGAAATGCTTCCTCTGAGCTTACATTCCTCCTACCAGATTAATCATCTCTATGTATGCCTATAAATCGGTATTTCCTAGAGTTCTTGGCTATAAGAAATGCCAAAATGAGCCTTTAGTTTTAGTGTTCAAGATTTTTTTTATTTCATTTTTTAAATAGGCCCTCACACAGGTCTTACTAATATCACTTCTTCCCTTTGCTTTAAAGGGTGTAGCCTCTAAATAGGCATTTGGACTCTGACATTTTAAATGAAAACGATCTGGCCTGCAGCAGAGATCCAGCCTGCCCCACTTGGTACACGAGGAAGAAATGCTAATTTTATTCACTCCTGTACTTTGCATGTGGCCATAGACATATCCACGGATAATTCTGTTTTTTATCATATCCAAAGCAGAACGGCGTGACAGAATGGTTTTGGATTACAGCAGCATATTTCACACATATTTAGGACTGGTTCCTAAGCAGAGTGGGTAGCCTTCCCAGTGGCTTCGCAGAAGAAACATGGCAAAAAGTGCAGGGAAGTCCTAGGTGTTGCTTCTGAATAAATACAGCACATTTATGTCCCTTTGCCAACTTCTGGCTGAACAAAATGGCATTTACAAGAATTTAAGAGTGGTACAAGCTGCCGTACACTAACCCTGTGTGTTCAAGGAGCAGGGCAGGAGGAGGCAGAGCGACGCTGTTCCGACCAGCTCGTGCAGTTTTAAGGACTAGATGGGCTTGAGTCCTTCCAGGGGCTTCCAGGGATTTTGTGCAGTTCAGCTCTGGGGGACTGAACGAGGCTTCCTAGGAACCTTGCCACGTTGCACTGGATAGTGCAACGGAACTCTCTGAGTGTGGCTGAATGTTTATTTAGTATGAAAGGTTTTACTAGAAACTGTTGTGCTCAAAATGCTGAAACTAAATATCTTTTTTTTTTTCCCCCCAAAGTATAAGTCCAGCAGAGGGACGTGCCAGGCAGGCAGCACTCAATGCACAGGATGAGGGGGTTAAGCAGCAAACAACACCAAGAGGCTGACGTTGGTCGGCCGCACAGAACCGCTGCCCCTACCTCCTCATACTCCTCCACATCGCAGTAAACGTCCGTGGCAGGAATCTGACCCAGGATCCTGTACTGAGGGCTGCAGAGGAGAAGCAAACGTGTTTCAGTATTCCCATTCCCAAGGGGGAGAATAAGAGTTCAATACATATGGAAACTTATTTCGAATGGTCATTTTGCAGTGTCTGGCTAGTACAGGCTTATCTAAATAGTCAAATGCAGTGGGGAAGTTTATGGAGGGAACATAACAGTCCACTGGTGACTGCACAGGTTTGTTTCTGTCAATACGAAAATAATTGTGAAACTTAGCACTATAATGCTGTCATTTTTCTGAAAAGCATAAGCCAAATCATGTAAAGTTACAGGGGGAAATTCTCTTTGGTGTCAACTGGTGCAACTCCATCAACTATCTTGTGAATATGGTAGTTCTTCCCAGCAAAGAAAACATGCTGCAATTTCTAAAAACTGCTCTGCTCCCAGAACAAACATGCCAAATAGTGTTTGAACTCTGGACCACTGCCATACATCGTGCCCTGCACCACCTACCTGATGCAGCAGGCTCTGCCCTGCGTACAGTAGGAGTGGACAGAAAGGTCTGCTCGTTATTTGCACCCTTCAAACAAACAAAACCACCCAGAAACCAGCAAATACTAATTTGGAGAAAAAAGAAATCTGACCTTTGTGTTCTGTAAATAATGGTTATCATTGCAAACGCTACTGCAGTAAGTAAACCATAGTCTAGTCCCAGGAAAAGAGAGGCCACAAAAGCTACCACCCAGATGGCCTAAAAAAAATAACCAAGAAAAAAATAGAAAGACAAAGGGAGGGAGAGAGAGAAAGAGGAAGCTCTGAGTTATTATGATTATGATGAATCCTTTTCTGTTAACAAAAACAATAGCATGATTCGACCTAAAATACATGTAATCACTTCTAGGCTATAGTGCAGTAATCTTCCTGATAGAACAATATAATGGCCTTAATCTCTGAGGGAGGCATAAATGCTCAAGACATGCTAGGATATCATCTGACAAATTTACTGTACCACATTCATTAATGAATTAAAGCTTCTTCTTCAAAGAATACCCTGTTACTACTGGACTTGCAATACTTTAGAATTAAAAAGAAAAGAAAGTTCTGGGCCTGCAAGGAGCTCTCATGTCCATCTTTGGCTGACGGCCACGTGGCAAGGACTGGTATTTAGCCCCGTGTCTCGGCTACTGTAAAAACACACCAAGAAAGGATCTGCCATAGGAACTCCAGAATGACCAGGAGTCAAGGAGACCAACCAATGCACAGGAAGGGAGTCGGGAAAAAGTCAGTGGAGCTTCTGCTGGAAGAGGGAGAACGTGAGGCTCCAGGTGTGTGAGTCTGTGTCGCGCTCTGCGCGCGCCTCTGAGCCAGCGGGATCGGACCCAGCTCTCAGATCTCACCGAGCAGCTCTCAGTGGTCAGGGGATACAGAAATCGTATCCTGTGTTTGCCAGCTGCTTGCAAGCAACTCTTAAGGCTATGGATCTCCTCCAGGGGGTCAGAGTACCTGTAGGCACTCTGGGATCTCTGTCTTATTTCCAAGCTGTCTAGAAGCAACCTGGTCTCCCCACAGCTGCTGTAGGAGCTCCCAACCCCTCTTGCTTCAGGTCAGTAACAACCTAACACGCTGCCAGATAACCCAGCAGGAGCTGCTACCAAAACGTTCCCTGCAGCCAGCCCTCAGTTCTGATCCACTCCATGTGATTGTTTGGTCTTAAAAGATCACAAACACTCAAGTACTTTTCCTCGTTACTTTCTATCCCCAAATCTCTCAGACATTCCCACTTGCATCAGTGCACTTCCTATAGCAACACTGCAGCACTACTGGAAGCAACACTATGGGAAAAGCTTTGCTTTGACTGCAGTCAAACTACTTCTGAAATGCACCAAGGGCCAGTTTGTTACACGACAGCTAAGAAGTCTTGTCTGCAACAGATCCCTCTCCTAGTCCTAATGCTCCACATCTAATGTCCATGTGCAAGGCAACAACCAATCTTTATCCACGTTAGGCAAGTTCCTACTTTGTTTTGGGGTATAGGAGAATTGGAAACAAATTTAGGACAACAATGTACATGCACTGAGCTGTGCACCACTCACCAGCTCAATCTTACTGATCCTCCAGAAGTGTGCGACGTCTCCAAACTGTTTGAACATTCCTTTCAGGTTCACCATGACAATTGCAGCTAGCACAGTCTAGGAAGAGCGAACAGAAGCCAAATGAAACCACTGCCAAGCGGGAACTTCTCCAGGCCAACCTAACTCTATTTCTGTGCTTTGTACAACTGAGGGAAGTCTACTAAACATATGTTCCATTTAAATGACAACTTTTCAAGTAGTTCAGTAGAGATATGCTCCTACTGCAGCCACACAAATGGCAAAATAGCCAGTATAGCTTGATTTACTCTCTTGATTTACTGCCTGCAGTGCCTACAGCAGCTGGAAAACCCAGGAGCTGCATATCACTTGGCACATGTCACCAGAACCAAGCTGCTTTTTTTTTAGTATCAGAATATACTTATTCACATAAGCCCATTTTTATACAAATTAAAATTGCAAAAGGAGAAAGAACTCATTACACTGAGACCCAAGCCATTCCCAGCTGATCTACTATTTTAATTTTTACCTCCTCCTATAATTTTTTATCCTGCAAACAAAGGAGAATTATTTAGAGAGCTCATTTTTCTGTTCCAGAAACAGAACCCAAGAATGGGCGATGTTAAAAACAAACAAACAAAAAAAACAGTCTGGATACTTCAAAATATTTGTTAATTTCTAGTGTAGCCTGCAGCAAAAACATAAATTTTAAAGGTTTCTGGGTCAAGGCCAAAACTGTCTGGATACTTCAAAATATTTATTAATTTCTAGTCTAGCCTGCAGCAAAAACATAAACAAATTTTAAAGGTTTCTGGGTCAAGGCCTATTGTGTTTACTTACTTATCATCCTGCAACCTTTACTTTAATCAGTAATAGCTGGTTTCTGTTCACTGACATGCAGTGCTGAGCCAGCAAAGCTCCCTTACCTGTGGAAGTGGTTCAAAGAGGTAGCCAATAGCCACAAGTACCAAGAGAACCATGACCGAGGACAGCATCCCTGCAATCTGGACACAAGAGGCAAGAAATGATGTCTGAGTATTAAGCAGTGTCCTCAGAGGACAGCCCTAGAATCATAGAATCATAGAATGCTTAGGGTTGGAAGGGACCTCTAGAGATCATCTAGTCCAACCCCCCTGCA